AGACACACATTTGCACCCATCTAGAATAAATTGCAAGATAATAGCTTAATGAGCACAGAAACTTGGGCTTGGCCCCTTCTACAGGAATGAATTTCAGCCTCAGCGTGTTAAAAGGTTTGAATTGTTTGCCACTACGGTGGCAATTTTTACACTTATGTGCAAATAACCCTCTAATTTTTCAATGATCATTTAATTTGGTAGGACCACAAGAAGCTTTAACGGAGGTGGGCTGCAGAGTTATCTCACATTTTACAGAAGTAATTGTGATACCAAACCCACATTTTTTAGAAAAAAAGACTGAGCTGCATACACATATTAGTTACATGAAAACTATGAAATAAAGACGGTGTCTAATTTACTGACAATAATATTACCAGGGAAGAAGAATTACTTTGTAACTGGTTTCTCTTAGCCCCCAACAACAAGATTACCGAATTCCTCCCCCTCTGTCATGTTAAGAAAAAAGGGCAATGTACAAACTGCCCGGTCCAATTTAAAGTTCGTTCTTGTTGTGTACGAATAGCAACAGTTTAACAACTATTTGTGATCACCACCTTTATATAATAGAGACTAGCACACTCTTAAATAGGAAACAAATTGTAACCAAGGAAAAAGGGAAAGAAAATTCCTCTTTAAGTTATTTTCAATACTTCTGGGCCAGTTCTCACCACCCTTGTTCATGAGAGTGACTCCAATGACCTCACACATGGGAACAGGCCTTGCAAGGGATTGCTCAGATGAGTAAAGTTTGGGCCAGATCATGTCATTCAACCCCCACCACATTTCAAATCACGTTGACAACAAAAGCAGCAGCACTTTTTCGACTTCGTTTGCTCCTTTTTTGCTCTGGAACTTCTCCTCCCCGCCCCGCGCAAGCACAGCCACAGCTCTCAGAAAGTACTCGCCCTCAGCCACAAGTGCTTCTAAGTAGCTTCCTCAGCTCACTTATTTATCAGGAATCAGGAGTGCTTTATGCTTTCCAGCTTGGGCTCTTAGAGAAAGAAAACGTCAAAAGTGGTAGCGCAGCAACAGATGAACTGCAAGTGAAGCAACAGGCTGACGCCAGCATCACCAGGAGCTAATAAACTTCTGCTTTAGCTTTACTTGTAGGTGTGACTACACATTTTCTCGTACTTGCTGCAGTACTTTTGACTTGCTTTTTTTCATTTGAAAGGGTCATTTGGTAACCATGAAACACTCCCAATCGGGCTTCCTGTACTAGAAAACGAAGTTTAACGTGATATCAAAGCATGCAGTTGTTGCACAACCATGCCGCAGGGTTTCATGGGTCTGGCTGTATTACAGACCATCGTTCACCACCTCAATTCATCTGTTACACGAAGGTTAAACTCCAGTTACTGCAGACCACTATGTGATACCATTGGAAAGCTCTCAGATTGATCTTCCTGGCCACATTTTTAGTAGTGATGGCCAGAATTTGCATTTTCTTTGAGTGAGAAATTCTGCTTTAAAACACAGGTGTCCTTATACGTAAGCCTATAACTAGACCAACTGCTCGATTCGGCTCGTAGCGCAACATGCAACAAGGCAAAAGACCTGGGCTCAAGACTACTCATACTCCTCAGGCTGGCGAGGAGGACGGTTAGCTAGCGCTGCATCAGCAGGAGCACCTCCAAGCAGTCACAGTGTTTTGCCACAGTGAAACTATCGTATACTGAGGGAAGGGACTTTTCACAGGATAGAACGGCAGCCCAGAATGCAGGGGCAGGTGAGACTGACCTGTGATCCCGACTCCCTGTTTGGGGGTGGTCAGAACCCCCTGGGCTTATGCCTTGGGCCGGGATTTGGTGGGCGAGAGAAAGCCCAGGCTCAGATGCATGGGTTACCCTGCTGCAAAAAGACAATATATAATAGAAAGTCTAAGCCAAAGATGTTTGTATCAGTTATAACAATGAGGAAGACAAACGCTTATAGGAAAAGCAGTGCAAATTAACAATGGTCAGAATCGCTATTTGGCAAAACACATGTTCCCTGGGACCTGTTTTAACACAAGCTCCCAACTAAACTGTCAGCTTATTCAGAAAACTCTCATTATCATTCCTGGATAACTCTAACTGGTTTTAATAGAAAGCTTGTTTTATCAGGCCATTTCATCAACCCTGTTTGTGAAAAAGCTGCAGAAACGTTTGGCCTGTTGGCGTTCCTTCTGTGTGAACCGAACCATCTGCCTTTAGTAAAGAACACAGATTTTGTTTTAAAACATCTAGCAACAATTAAAAACATCCCAAATGAGTTTTACCAGTCTCCATAGAGCTATACCTTTAGCAGAAGCCTTGTTCACGTACCTGTTAGGTACAAGGGGTCGCACAAAGGCGTGAGCGTGAGTACATTTTCCAGGAACTGCCCAATATACCTGCAACCCCCCTGTTAGTGCTGCTCATGAGGACTGCAGAGCTCAAACCTTGCTCAGTGCTTAAGAAATTTTGCTTATATGATTACTGGCACAAGTCTCTATCTGGTGCCTGACTGTATACAAAAAAAACCTTCTGCATAGTAAGTGCAGTTACTGCAGACTTATGCATATGTCAAATACTTTTGTAGGCAACTGTACTAGTGCACACCTGCTTAAAAAAGAATTGAATTCTGCACAAAGTATAACACAAATGAACCCAATTTTCTAGTGGTTAACTACACTGCCTGTACTAACAGGAGACCAACAGTGTTACCCCTTTTCTTCTATCTCAACAAGTATGCTTCATTGGGCTCCCAGGGGCCGCACAGGTGGACTTTCCAGATGCCATCCACCATTTCAGAACAGATTTCAATATTCTTCTATATTTCCCAGAGAAGGCAAGAAGGTAAATTTGTCTGGGAAAAGCCTCCATGTATTCCGAGGCATCCTCAAACCAGCTGGTGTTGCTTTTTGTTTTCCTAAATGAGTAAATGTTGGCCATGGTTTGACCATTCTCAGTCAATTTTCTCTGCTTGAAAGGAAGTTATCTCTCTAACCAGAGCCACTGTGCGCCCTCAGCAATTCTCTCCGTTCCCCACTGAATTGGCAAAGCATGTGCATCACTCAGTGGGAGCTCTCTCTCCAAGGGGTGACAGGCTTGCCAAGGAGACTCGGACAAGCCATGCAGTCCTGTGGCATCAGGATAGACCCCGTCACGAGAAAGAGCATTTTCCAGCCCAGCAGGTCTCTCCAAGAATACACACACTGTGCTGCATCCCTAACAGGCTGCTGCACAGCCCTTGGGAAGTACAAGCCTCTTCCCTCTAGCACCAGGGCTGCTGCTGGGTTGAGAGACGATAACAAGCAGCAAGAAGGAAAGCAGAGAATTAGATGGAAATTCAGGAGCACCTTTAAAAAAGAAAAAAATTTACAGGGAAAAAGATTTCCAACTCACACTCTCTCTGTCTACCCACTTATTTAGCGCTCCAGCGTTCTCAGAGCAAATATCTAACATACCAGCTGAGCAGCAGAGAGATAAAAAATAGGCCCATTGGGGTTTTTTTGCTTTTACTGAAAACAATACTCTTCCCATGCAGTTACGTTGACTCTAGGCTAAAAAGAGCTGATCTGGTTTCGTTCTTTATGGACCAGTTCAGCTCAGTGTACACCTCTGCTAGATGACAGAATAACGGTATCATGAATTTAAACTTTTTTTTTTCCTTTTTTTAATAAATCTTGTTTAAGAAATACAATTGGAAAATGAAGGAAAGCACAGGACGAGTTTATAAAGAAGAATGTGCAACCTCATTTGTATTCTTGGCAGTTTGGTCTGACTACTTTTGCTTTTATCAAACTTTCTCATGCAAAGAGAAAAGAAAACAAGCAAAGTAACATTCCCGTAAGAGTTTATCAGCACAAAGACCAAGGGCACAGGGGCACTTGACAGGTAAACTCCTCCTAGGGATCTGGGGCTAAAATTTCTGGTTCCAAGTTGCCATTTTGACCATGCAATGTTATAATTGCAATGTGCATCAAACTATTATTTATGTAACTTGTAACAGAGGGTCTTCTCTATGAACCTCTCTGAGCCTACTCACCTCAAGACAGTGCACTGCAGGTGGAAGAAAAATTTCAGAACAAACTCAAAATCACCAAACTGAAGAAAGCAGGGCCCGGAGAGGAGTTAGCATTATTAGTTTCCAGCAGGGTTGGCATCAAGCCCATTTGCCCATACAGGTGCAAAGTTAGTACTAATGATACAGGGAAAGGGCACTGTCATTGTCACTATGGTCAAAGAAGGGGTCATTCCTGTGTGGCGTAAATGTTGTAAGAGCAGGCCAGTGCTTGACAAGCCCAGAGATTATATTTCCAGCCATTCACCATTCATTCACAAAAGGAGCCTGGACCGGCAGGCTTAAGTACGTAAGAAAGGCTGCTTCACTATGGGGAGCACTGTACACATGGGCTCTTCAGTAAACATAACCAACAAATCAATATAGAAAGCAACTCTAAGCCATACTGAAAAGCTCTGGGGATCAGTTGCTTGGTAAGGACTCTCATTACCCATTTATTGCAGGGCTTACTTAAGACCGGCAGCTTCAGGCTTACAACAATAAACTTCAGGGTACTCTCAAAGCAGACAGATACCTCTCCTAAAACCTCCAGGCAGGTACACAGAGATACAAATCTCTAACTCTGCAATGGCCCAACCCAAGGTGAAGACAAGGATAGGGAACAGGTTATCGGAAACTCATTATTGAACCAGGATACACTCAGCAATGGCAGTTTACTGTAGACAAAAGCCTGCAGTGATGGTGCAGGCTGCCACCATCATTGGGAATTGCTATGGGAACGACAGTGAGGAAGCCTACATAAAAAAGAAAATTGATAGTTAATTTTTAAAGAATACATAAAAAGAGGTTGAAATACATTAGCCAAACCATTTACCAGATTATCAGTCAGCAATCAGAATGGGCCACAGAGCAAAAATGCAGCTGTCTACTTTTCAGTACTCTTAATCTCCATCTACAAAACACAAATACGAAAACTGTACTTTTTGGCTTTGCTTTTGTAAGTTCAGACTTACTCAGTTGAATTAGACCGTGGCCTAAATCTTTTGCCTCTGACTTTCTTTCTGTTTCCTCCTATATTACCTGAAAGAAATCAAAGGATAAAGACAGACAGTAAAACAACTCGAAACTCACTTGCGCCCCATGCCAAACTGTATATTCTTTTTGCATCCCCAGCAAAAGAGCTGTTACCTCCTTAGCTTTAATCATTTAAAAGTCACAGGTCAGTCCCTCTTGATTTACCTCAGACCAGTTAAACTTGACACTTAGGTGACATTTCTCTACTTTTTGCTGCAACTGTGCAGAGCAAAAAAAACTCCTTAATTTCAGCTTTCATTTGAGAAAATCACTACACTTCAAGAAGCACAGCACACCAAGCACTGCCTGATAAAATCACAGAAGCTGGCAAGAGTGAATAGACTTCTTTCTCTTTTACATCTCAGCTCACACTGGAGGAACGGGAGAAATTAAATGTCATTTCTATGTGCTAAAGCATTGTGCAAAAAAGGTACTTGTGTAGAGTGCTTCTAAATCCCAATTCCAGCTTAATAACAATTAGCACAATTTTAAGGAGTCATGCTGCTGTCCTAAGATCAACCACACTTTCAGCAGAGCAGCAATGGCCCACAGGCTGGTTTTCACTGAGGCCAGCACAGAGGTTTACACTTACCTTGCCAAGAATTACTCCTAGGCCTCCCATTTTCACAAATATCTGAAATATGTTTTGTGTCTGGGATCCTTTCACTCCAGGAATGAGATAATCCATTTGACCTGGAATAGGAGGGCTCAGATGCGGTTATTGTTAAGGGTATTGTCTCACATCAGTGTTAGCTCAGAGGTTCAGAGAGTCACATTCCCGAGGCCAGTGACAAAACATAGCCTAAGGTCTGTCTGCACTAGCAGAGCACCCAGGATTTCTGGTAAAACCCTGCAGTTACACTTTGCCAACTGTCCCTGCAGTGGTTTGCTGTGTCTACATTCAAGAGCCAGGCTTCAGCCTTGCTTTCTCCCATGTCTGCTGTGGAGACCACAAATGCCAGCACACACAGATTTCCAGTTCTGCCCAAGTTCTTAGCTGGAAGATGCTCTTCCAACTGTGCTCATCCCAAGGTGTTTTTTCCTCACATCCCACCAGCAGGCTGCCCACTCCCTCCTCATGCTGTTGCAGGAAAGGTGCGACTGCTTCCCTCTACCCACTGCAACAAGTCTCAGGGGCCCAGGGGTCTGTGGGGAACCTCCTTCCACTTACATCTGGTAGCTCCAGTGGAGGGGTAACTCTGTCTTATTTTTGATAATTCAGAATTTTTAGTGTATTTTGTCAGCTAGTCACTACAGTGTATAATTTTAATGTCAAACTCAAAGCCAAAAACAGTCTTTATATCTAGGTGCTTTATGCAAACTAAAGTTTTTCTTTCTTCTTGTATTCCCTGTAAGAGCCAGAGATGTGTGGCAAGGTCCAACACATGGGGTTTTGCAACAGGCTCCTTCCTGTTGAACTAGAGCTGCTGCTCAGCTCTTTGTCAATGAGATCTACAATTATTACCAAAAGAGAAGAAAACAAGAGGAAGTTGAAAACTGGTCAGAATAGATGGCTTATTTATTACAAAGGCGTTTTGCTTAAAGGATCTGTTTCTGTAGTTTTAAGGTCTGAATACTCTTGCATTTTTCAGTCTCTGCCTTCCTTGGAGGGCAGGCATCTCACAGATGCTCTTCAGTTTCCAGAAGACCAAGCTCATCACGACCACACTGAATTAAGACCAGGGTTTCATTAATTCAAACTCAGTTACAGCATGAAAGGTCTGAGAACCAACAGATCCATTAAAAGACTTGTAAATAATTTTCTCTTCCTAATGGTCTATTTTCAGCTTCAGGAGTGTCTTGCTACATACTGGGTTTGGTGTTTGCTGTTTCATAATAACAAGAGTTATCATAAAATTATCTCTTAATCTTTGAACATCCTAATACTAACACTTCATAGTGCTTTCCAGCATGGAGAAGCCCAGGTGCCTAATGACCCGGTTACTCTAATGTCTCCCAAGAGATGTCATCCATATCTGCACACAAAGCAAATCAAAACCAGCTTGAAAGGTAGGAAATAGCACTCCAGGCATCAAAAATCGAGTATTTGTCAGACTTATTTTTCCAGACATTACAGTGGCACAACATACCTCAACTGGTGGTGGGGAACAACAAAACTCTCTAGTACAGACAGACCTTAGAAGCCTTTAGCTTGTTGGAACAAACAATAAACAGAGACACACAAAAGAAATGAAGTATGAAAAGAAACACAGATACTAAATGAAAGAAGAAACACGTTAAATGATATTAATTTAAAAACAAACTTTTTTTTCTTAACTGGTATTTGAACCTCCTTACACAAGCTATGAAAACTTGCTTCCCCAAGACTTTTTCAAAAATTTTATCCAAATGAGAAAAGATTCTTCAACACAAACAGCGTATCATTAAAAATTAACACTTGCTTCCTGAAAAAAATAATTTACCTACTCACAAATCTAAAAAGCTGAATTTAAAAATTAGAAATCATAATTAATTATACACTACTACAGTTTTCTTAGTAACATCAGGATGCTATACCCAAATAGCAAATGTCACTGCAAATGTATCCCTTCCATACATTTCTCTCTACTTTCTTTGAAATAACAACCAACAAAAATGGCTTCACCAACTGCACAGTTATAGACTGCTCAGCAACACAAGAATTGAGAATTATGAAGCAGTTCAGGATCGTCTATCCCTCCTATGACACAGTGCTTCTCATTAATTGTTTTAAAGTCCTAGCTGGAGACTTTCATAATTAAAGGATGTCTAACTGCAGATGGATGGTGAGCATCACGACCTAATGACCTTAGCAATTACAAATGACTCTCAATGCTTTTCAATGAATTTTCCATTTTAAAATGTTGTTGGGTTTTTAAAGTAACTGGAACAATAACAGAACTAGTGAAATTGGATCAAGGGCAAAATCTAATGCCCTCTTTGGTTACTCATAATAGCAAGCACAAAACTACAGAGTCTTTGTAGAATTATTTTCTAAGATAACACTTAGTGACCATTTAGTATACTAGTCTAGTAAGTGGAATAAAATGCAAGCACCATCATCTTTAATGTGAGACAGCAACAACATTATCCAGAACATCAGGTCAACTCAGTGAATTAATGACACGGACAAATAACGATATAAAAACAACATTTATATTGAACAGTTTATGTTTATAACTATTATTGAAGCAAGACAGTGTTCCTTTTCTTTGATTACATGACCATGATCTAAAAAACTGTGGTTCTTTTATTTATTTTTTTTTCAGCCAGCAATTATTATTACAGTCTACTTGAAAACAATTCTCAAGCAGGGAGATGATGAAAATTTGATTAACCAAAAATTGGTTTACAATGGAAAACTTGTTTATTCTGGCCTAATTGTAATAATTAAGCAGTTCAGGGCACGTGAGAAAAACCAGTAATCAAAGCACAAAGGATGCTATTTGAAACACTCGACAAAGAAAGAAGAAAGAATCAAACCTGCTGCAAAACAATGAAATGTTCTGACTAATGGAATAATGGGTGATGGAACAGGTAGAAATCTGAAAATGCGACAGAAAAGCAGACCTCTTCTTAGAACTAGATGCAGAGTTTGTGCTGACTCCAGGAGGCATGTCGCTATAAAAAGAGTCGGCCTCTCCAGGCTTTTTTACATAATCTCCCTGGGGTATTTGTCTAAAGTATAATAAACATCGTAGAGTCAGAAAACATGACAGGCACCAGTACACACACAAACATGCACAAATATTAGTTTAAAAGAAAGAGGCAAGGATAGCGATTCTTGAGGAATCCTGTTAACCACACACAATAACCCTATTAATAAATAATTCAACCATTTGAGGGGAAACTCCCACATGCTTCTGGTATGTGCAGAAAAGTGGATTATGCGGTTTTGCTATGGGAAAACAAGGAACATTTCACTGATAAACTCTGATCATAATTTTCAAAGTGAACAGTTTGCGGTTCTTGAGACATTAGATAACCAAGTTCAGACATTTCAAATGGCTCATCACACTGGTTGCAAAAAAGCACCCTCAGATGCCGTAGAAGTACTGCAGCCAGAGCTGAATGCATGCCTGAATCAAAAGGAGTTCACAAAAAGTAAATTCTTTTTTCCTTCTGAGGTAGATGCTTTCCATTTAATTTTTGTGCTTATTATTGAATTCAAGAATAGCATCCTGTTCAGTTGTTTAAAACTCAGGAGGAGAAAAACCTTCAGTTTATTAACTGATTTCTTGTGGAGGGGAACTAAAGCTAATATCAGAGGTTCTCAGCTACTCCTGATTACCACAGTAAACTCAATCTGCCAAGACACACAAAAATAATGCCATACATATCTGACAACAGTTTACCCTTTTCCAGTACCAGAAGCTCAGTTATGGTGCATAAAACTACCTATGCATTAGAAAGTCCTAATCAAGCGATGCAACTTTGCCAGCAGAAAAACTGCCATGCAAATATTCCAGTTACAGTTCCACCAAGTTGAAAAATCCTCGCTAGTACAAGTTGCTACTTTGAAAGTTGGCTATATCATAATACCAGCAACTTAATTACCTATTCAGCCTTGCACTTTCCAAGGCCTTTTTGTTTCAGTCTGCCCCTATTAAGATGCGCATTTATCAGAAGGTTGATTCACATTCAGATTATGTCCAACTACAGAACTGAACTGGGCTCTCTTCATTCCATATCTGAATTTTTAATGCTCTTCAAGTATTTAAAATATGTAATTATATGGTACATAAATCATTAGTGTAGCACAGTACTTCCACAGTATTTCTTCTAACAGTTCTTGAGTTTCGTTCTTGTCCCATTCCTTGGCCAGTACATGGGTGTGTTCAGAGTTGTCTCAGCATGGGCAGCTCTGCTCCCCAGGGTTGCTCCAACAAACTGCTCTCTTGCTACTCTGTCAGAAATAATTTCTGCCATGTAGCTGTGCCCTTTAAGCCACACTATCCCAGCTGACAGAATCCTTGCTAATTGGCTCTTTTTATTACTTTCAGTTTACTCATTTTATTTGCTTAGTACTACCAAATATCTTTCCTTATGTAAAGCTCAAAAATACCTCAATGGCTTGGTTTTCATCTTTATTTAAGGAGTAATCATAAACATATAAAAAAGAAACACAACACTCTGGACACTGGTGGATGTCTGTTTTTTCCATTTATGGAGCACTCTTTGTGCATATCCAAAAGTACTCTATTTAGAAGTCAGCCTACAGAATTTAATTTTCTGCATGAAGAAGATTTAGTTACTAAACATCTCCATCATCTTTAAAATAATGGAGCCCTCCATCACCTTCAAAAGCCTCAGCTTATGCTGGTTTCCACTCTGCCCGTGCCCACTGACTGCATAGTCACAGTTCTCTGTCCATATACTAATTACTGCAGATGAGGGAATCTGAAAAAGTTAGATTCTCCAATATTCCAATGCAAACGTGAATGGGGTGGTCTCTTTCCATATTTTGAGGTTTTGGCTGCTCTGTCCTCAGCCAACACTGAAACATCCACAGGAAAGTCACTTGATGGCCATGTTAGTCTGTACTTACAAATACATTGCATTCCACTAAGCAGCACCAAACCCTCCAATTCTGGCTTCCTCGTGCTGGGTGACATTTCCTCCCCACCAACCTCTCCACAAGGCTTGACTTCAATAGCTTTGCCTTTTTCCTGTTACTGTTCCTGCCACCTATCTGACCTTGTAGTACACAACCAGCACTTGGCAGTGCTTTTCTGCTTTTTGCAAGTATTTTGCCTGGCAGAGAAAGTTCTACAGAGGCAGGGGAAATGGAGAACAAGCACAACGAGTAGCGACAACAAACAAAGCAGCAGCTTGACCGAGAGGTGGGGGTTCAGGCAGAAAACAGGGGAATTGGGGAAACCCTCTTATCTGTGGGGGACTGGGAGAGGAAGGAGCCAACTCCTTCCCAGAAGATCCATCTGCCAGGCAGATGACTGATCAAAGGGAGGTGGTCTTCCAGGAGCCAAACCTCAGTCACTAGGAACTGTTTGGTTTTTGGCCAGAAGCTTGAAAGGGTGAAAGCTCAGCCCTGTGCTGAAGACAGTACTGTGCTTTAGCTACAAATCAATCCAGCTGGGTGGCGGGAGAGAATGGGCTCTTCATTCACACAGCAATTTAATGGCATTGTATTTTTAACTGCAAAGAAGTTCCAGGAATGAATTTGTCTCAAAAGGCTCCTGAACATCATGTTAATATTAATTATTCAGTTCTCAGCCTCCCAAGAACACTTTCATCTCTAATAGCAGATTTTCAGTCTCTCTTATTGGAAATATTCTCCTGTTTTCCTAAGTAAAATAGGCTATCTCAGAAGGAAACATTATTTTTGCTAGAGTCCAGTGAAATCAGGATTTCAAGCAATGCATTTATAGAATAAATACCAATTTCATATATTCAAGCAAATATTCTTTAATATATGATAATTCATCGCTATATTTTCTTTATAGCATGTAAATGAGCAAGAGAGAAGAAAAGCTGTTTTCAGAGCTTTCTAAGATACATTCCATTACTTTTACCACATACCTCTGTCTTCTGTAGTTTCTTTCCATACAAAGAGAAGAGAAAGAAAGAAGAATGCATTATCAGTATGCAGGTATACATGGCCAGTAAGTAAAAAATAAAACATCTAAAGAGAAAAGCAATGTATGCAGAATGAAATTTTTGCTCAAAATATTTCTACAGACAACACTTCTGAAATAAACCTAAACATACTAAATCAGAATAAACAATGAAAATATATTAATGTTGATGGCTAAAGTCAGTGCATAGTTGGAGGTAGAGTTCATGATGTGTTTAAGCCTATTCCTGTGAAGCTGCTAGTGAAAGGTGCACTCTTGCCCTCCACCTCCAAAAACTAATACCACTGGCTAGATGTGATCTCAAAATGAGCCCTTAACTTTTGGAGTTGTACTCAAAATAGAAGTCCAGATTTTCAGATACTGCCAGAAGCTGAGGGTGATATACCAAGACAGCATAACCTACCCTTTTACTACCCTAATCATCATGCTTTTTCCAAATGCTTCTTTCCTTATGTATCTCTGAGCTGTCTTCAGCCAACATCAGTCTAACAAACCAGCAGGGGATGTTCCAGTTTGTTATGCCAAGCCGCTGGGACCGTGTCCCAGCTACAACATTGCCTTCAGCTGAGCCTGCTCTGCCCTCCAAGCACACCAAGGACCCATGAAGGAAGGACCTCAAAAGCCAGTTTCACCCAAACACAAATGACAAAGTAAGTACCTTGAATCTTTTTCTAATACAAGTCAAAAAACTAATCCCTTCTGTTTTCAGAAGAAATTCACGAAAGGAAAAAAAATGAAAAAGATCAGTCAGGCTAAAATAATCTATTTTGCCTCTCAGTGAGCAGAACACTGACAGCTCTAAGCTAGGAGAGAACTTGCACCTTATTTGGAAATTAAAGATCTCTCTCAATGAAAATGTGCCTGAATTAATTTCAGGTTAAGCTGACTGAATATAAACATCTGTTTAAGGAAGGCTATGGTTAAATGCTTTACTGACTGAAGGCTAATCTTGCTTAATTTACTTCCTTAGGAAAGATTTATAACTGAATAAGACTGTATTCTTGTATTTCCTTTGTCAGATACAGTAAAATCATAATCTGATAATCTACAAAAAAAAAGAAAAGAAGCAGCTAAATAAGAAATAAATTTCAAACCTGGAACGAGCTCTCCAAAACCACATACACAGGTAGAAATTGCTTGAAAAATGCTAATACTATAAAAATGTCACTGTATAAATATAATCCAGACTTTTTAGATTCTGTTTGAATTGGTTTTTTCATAGCATAATCAGCTATCAAATGAAATAAACATATTTTTAAACTGTATTAAGAAGAACACAATTTACTTACTTGTAACCCCAACCAGTTATTCCTAAAACGAGAGCCAACACTAAAATGGTGCCAGCAATAGCGCCTATTATTATATTTGTGCTAACAACACCTGGAAACAAAAGAAAGGGGGAAAAATATATAGGGTTTTAGGAGAAAAATATACAAAAACAGTAAACGCACTGTCTTTCAAAAACCTGCTTGGACAACTTGCACTAGACTGTTTAATTGTAACCAGTGATATGATCTTGAAGTATAGCATGGATATTAAAAGATCATTTGTAAATCAAGCTTTGACCTCTGTGTCCACTTCCTTTAACTGAACACTTGCTGCATGGGAAAGTTGTGCCAGGTTTGCCCATACCATGTTACCAATATTAAAGTTCTGTAGCTTACACCCTTATAACCTGTCTGGCAAATACATGCTTGCATTGGAATGAAAGTGATTGATTGATTGTTTTTGCTCAAATCCCTTTCATAGCTGAATAAACTAACCAAAAGAGACATTCTACAATCTTCTAGAAGATGGTAAAACTGTCCTTGCACAAGGATTTATACCCTCATTTGCCACAATATATCTTTCTCTTGTATGCAAGCATAAAGATGAATAAAAACTTAAAACTCAAAAAATGTAAAAGCCTAAAATTTGTGTGCCAACATTCTGCATACTGGCCATGTAATAAAAAAATTGACTCTACAAATGAAAACCAATCGTGTAAACAACATTACCCTTCCATCTAGATATGAAAAGCCCCAGTAACTCTTTGCTTGTCCTAATCTATCAATATACTTAATAAGGCCACTCAGATAATTCGGACAAGCAAGGTACAACCGGACACGCTGGTACCAGTCTCGAGAGGTGTACTGAGTGCTTGTGAGCAGCACCGTTTGCATCCTTCCCCAGGTCTGAGACCTCATTCACAGACACCCAGTGCTTCTGCTGTGGGACGAAGGGAAGGGAACGAGGCTCCTAATGGTGCATTGTGTTGTACGCTAACTGAAAGAGCAGGAGATCTAGTTTTGCTTAACGAACCTTCCTCAAATCCAAGCTTTTCCAGTTATTGGTAAAAATTAAACCAACATACCTTTATTGATGGCATCTTTATCAAAAAATATATCATCTTTGATGCGAGAACTGCAGTCATCTCCTCCCCAGAATCGGTCACAGACACACTTTATTTCATTGCTACAAACCTGCAGCCAAACATGTAGCTCAGAATGAAATCATAACATTAATCTATTCCCATAATTAATACCTGCAGTATAGGTACAGTCATATAGCACTGATTTTGACTGCCTGGAAAATTCTGTAGAACATTTTTAATATACAGGAATTTTTAATTTACACATTAGGTATAAATGTATTAAATGTATTATTATACTTTATGTATAAATATATCTAATATGTATTAAGTAAAATAATATAATTTAATGTAGTATATTTAATTGAGCCATTTATAATTGCTTTGGCAGACTCTGAACCTTAGTGATTTTATTTTTTCAAAATATGATGAAGTCGTTAATTTCATATTAAAAAAAAAGAGTTTTAATGCAGTGTAAAAGACAAAAAACGTTATGAGAGAACAACTGCTTTGATCTCAGCTCAGCCACAGGGTCCTGGACACTGTTTCAAACCACAGTTTGAGGGACAAGGGTACTCGCCAGGGCCACAGCAAAGCCATAGCCTGTGCACCAAGCAGAGAAGCTGCCACTTGCCAAGAGCCAGCTCACTGCCCTCTTCTCTAGAGCAAAGTAACTCTCAGCCAACAAAATCCAATGACTTTATGAACCTTCTTGGCTGTTGACACAATAAAGAGGGAATTAAAAAGAGCATCCGGAAGAATGTAGACCCAAGTTTCTTGGTTCATAAAACCTTTATATTCTCCAGTGCCTTGCCTGAGGAAATATCAATTAAGTTAGCAGCAGTGATATCAAAAGAATTGATTGATAAAATTTTTGTAAAATTAACACATACTTACTTGCACTCATTGTTTAAGATGCCTTGATGGCTATGCATTATGTTTACTTATATGCCTCCTCCCCCTTCCCTTTTCGAAAGATTCTCTGGAATAAGGACTTCTAGAGTCATGCTGCTGGCTTCCTGAAAGGTCTATCTGGTACACTACACAACGCCAGGTACTCAATAAAAACAGAAAAAAGGATTAAAGAGTACAAGAACATACACCGTGTCCTGAACAAATTTGGCTGTCCGTGGTGCCTGGGCAGGTACTGAAGTTGAAGGCCTCGGTGGGGAGGCAGCGATGCTCAAGGCACACCATGTTCGGCCCACATGGTGTCCCATTCTCCACATAGCCCAGGTCCGTCTCCTCATCAAGCTTCACATGGCCACCACTGCAAGACAAACAAGAGGATCCTGGAGACTTGTGCCGTGATTAGATGGGACTGCTTGAGAAACGGGGCTCTGGGCTGCTGCCTTCATTTCTGTCTGCATTATACAATGCCCAGGACCAGGAAAAAGCAAGTATTGGCTTATTACCTCACTGGCCCTAATGTGAAACAGACCAAAACACAGTATATCTACTTCAAACAAATGTAATGGTGAAAACAAAGACCATTTTTCCTGTGTAAGAGCTAGTTAGATAAAACACTGAGTTTACTTGTGTAGGACTTTGTTTCATCTTACAGTTGTGTGAAGCTATGAGAACACACCAGGTCTATAATTGGGATTCAGCTAGCATATGGCAATGTATTAAGATGCCAGTTAGCTTTGGCAGTGCAGGCATATGTCTAAGTATTTTGAGTACATTAAGTACTTCACAAATATTAAAGAATGTAAAATCAAGAGGTCAGAGAAGAGCATTATGTCTCTACAGGGAAAATTAACTACTACACAGAGGAGACTGCAAAACAGCTGCACTCCCCACACACAGTCAGTGTCCTGAAGCTTAACAAAGGTTGAGCTGGAATAATGGTTGTGTGTTAACAGGGGGGAAAAAAATTAATGGAAACAGTTTTTCTCCACTTAGGAATGAGAAAGCTGCTTTTCTGTGCAAGATGGATATTGACTGTTTCTGTTCTGTTTTCAGGATTTCCAATTACCTGCAATTGTAGACTTTTCCAAACTGCAAGATTGACGATGTGATTTCACCATCAAGTTCTCCAAGTCTGGGCACATTGGATATATTGGAGCACAGAAGGTATCCACAAAGCACATCCCTGCATTAAGAGAATAAACAGATACTCACTGAAAATTCAGCAGAAATGGACGATCAAAAAATGTGGTTTTCTTCACTTGCTTTGTAACATGCTTGTTATTCCTTGCTTTTCTCTCACTGACAGTAAGTCCCATAAATAATGTCTTGTTTCCCAAGAAAATTGTTCTCCTCGGAACTTAGACTGGGAAAAGAGTCTTTTTTATAGTGAATTATCAAAAATGCTCTGAGTAATAGCAATGAAGGAGCTGTCAAGAACAAACTACATCAAACTGATTTAATATCCTATTACATTACAGTAACCGGCCCATAGAGGAGAAGCAGTAGATAAAGGCTTTAAACAAACTCTCATGACACATATGTGAGGGAACTAGAGACACCAAATTTAATTCAACTGTTGAAGAGACTTTAAAACTCGTGTGCAGAGACTTGTGCACTGTCAGAATAGAAGGGTCAGGCCTCTCTCATGTTACTGAATATTTTTTACTCATGAATTTGTAATGGAACAAATGTAAGGTTATCAAATCTGCACAGAAAGGTAGGAGAGGACATTAGTCCACCTGTAAGCAGAACTAGAATTTAAATGGCATTGATAGAACGGAGAACTCATCTGAAAAACCCAGGTGTGGTTTGATAAGGACTGGCAAAAGGTTCAGAAATAGGCAGAAATAATCAACTGCAAAAACAGAGAATATGAAACAATGGTTTAGGCAGCAACTTGCAGGAAAAGATGTGGAAAGTCACAATACGATGAAAACTGAACACAGCTTAGCAATGCAATGGCATAGACAGCCTGAAAGGTGAACATCACACTGGGATATGAAACCACAGGCTGCTCTTCTCTGCACTGCTAAGCCTCACCAAGAGTACTAGGACCACTTTTGGCCAAGTGGTCCCAAAGCTCAGATGGTGCTCTCTTGTCAGAGATCATCTCCTCTTGACATTCCCCTTGCTCCAGAATCTCCTGCACTAAAGTCTGCAGAGGAAGACCAGGAGAAGCCTGATCCATACAAAGGCTTTTTGAGCCTCTTCATGCCAGCTGAAGAACTGGATCAGGGATAAAAAAATCTCATACCAGTTGTTTTCTAAATGGATCAACTTACTGTTTATTGCACTGTATCCAAGAGTCCTTGTCTCTTCCACAGTTTCCTTTCTCAGTCCCTTCAATGTTCAGCTTCTCATAGCAGTACCTGTCAGCAGCTGTCACTTCTAAAAACAGAAACAAATCTCTTCTAAGTTGATGAATACTTTGAAAAGCCAGGTCCTGGGAAATGGGGATGCATAATCAAAGCAAGCAGAGCTTCCCAATCTGTGAACTGCAGTACCACAGTCTGCAAGTGGCCTGTGAAACTCTGCATAGTGTTCTCAATAAAAAGTTTTATGTTGGCACCACAGGACTGTTTCAAAATTTTGTTCAGATTGACCAGGGTTTATTGGTCTAAAATGTCCAGAAGCCACTGAAATAAATCAGTAAATATGAGTATAGGTTCCTAGGTGGTTATCAATGAGAACTTAAACCTAAGACTTCAAAATAATCACCAGTAAGTTAACCAACACTAGAGAAAGAGCTCAAAAAGAGGATGGAAAGACAAAAGAAGGGGGAGGAAGAGGGGAAGGGACGTGCAGTCCTAGCTGTTTTAATGGTTCTGAATATCTCTTCCATAACTTTTTTAAGCTAAGACAATCTTTCAAGTCACATGAACAACAACCAACTTAGAAACAATCACATTCACTCACTTTCACCCCAGATATATTTACACTGCCGGTCCCTGGTTTTACATCTTCCTCCAAAACAAATACCCTAGAAAGAAAGAAAAGATACAGAAGAGGTTTCAAATAACTTGAGTTTCCAAAATACGTATCTGTTTAATACACAAATTTGGCACATGCTTTCTACTGAAGCAACTAATATGCGATCCTACTTTCTGTTCATTTAAATGCTTAGCTCCAAAATACAACTAGCACCCGAAACTCAGGAATGTCAGCAGAACTGTCCCAGGTGACTTCCAAAGGTCTTAAACCAAAATCTATAAAAAGCAATCTATAAAAGCAGAAAGAACGTAAAACAAATTGACATGCTAATTACCTGCTTGTTATCACATGAATATCCATCCATTTTATGAATATTGGGAGAACACTATAGAAAGAGAAAGTAACTAATAGATCAGACAAGCATGGAAGCAAAGCATACAACAAATGTCATACAGAAAATTAGTTCAGTATCATGCTGTTTTTTTCTGTATCAGTCAATTTAATACAATTTTTATAGTCCTTACTATATGGTAACATTCATAGTGAATGAGAGACTACAGGTGTTTTTTTTCAACTCCTGGACAGAAGATACAAAAATCACCTGACTGGAATTTCCTGTGCAGTTCTCTGCAATATCACAATCATTCACTGCTTCTCGGCACAAAACTCCTTTAGGTTCAAACTGGAAAAACAAAGGACAGAAAATTACTTCTTGATTTCTCCATATCTTGCCTTAAATGCAATGCTTTTTAGAGTTTTAACTAAAATTAAAAGTGGGAAATTTGCACAGGCTGACTGAAGTGGGAAGACTTTCCTTTCCCTGGTGCGGACATTGCACCTGTGAAGCCACTGGTCATTTACCGGTGTAAGTGGTACCACTATCAGACCTATCCTCCTGCATGCCTTGAGTGTGGGGCTGAGCAGGATAAGTGCTCTCCCGGGACACAGGACCCCTGGTGTTTATCAAATCAATACTGCAGTGGCTTGCAGCATTATTTTGACTGGCTCATTGTGCCTTTTTGTGACTATTTTACTCTTCGTCATAAAACAGGGAAAGTGATCCCGTCTTTCTTTCTAGGGACAAAGAACACTGCAAAGCTCTGGGCATAAACACTATGGTTATCACAATGCTCCGTTGTAAAACAGAAACTACTAATAAATGTACTGAATTCCGTAAGGTTTAACACCATTTTCTATGTGACCAGATATTTAACAACAAAAAACGTATCAGCGACCTAACTAGGCATTTTAGTTAGACTTCTGCGCTAACCCTCAAGACCTGTAAAAGCTGGAAGACACCCCATTAGTGGCAACTGTTAGTGCAGACCCCTTATTTTCCCTGAAAGGTTTCTTAAGACTGTGATACCCAGTTCATTTTGCAGTTCTGTGACTTTTTTTTTTTTGGATCTGCACACACACAGAGTTTATTTTTTTTTCTGGGACAACTGCTAACTCCACAGCTGGTGTGAACGTCAGTGGAAGAGCCAGACTCTGGTACTTTCTCAGCCTTCAGCTTATCTTTTTCCTACCAGTCTCTGGAAAAATGCAGACAGACAGGAATGTTGTCAGAAACACTACAGGATGCTGGGAGGTACACTCACCATGTTTTGTTTGCAATCCCTCCTTCACTCCTGCTTTCAGGCAGGGTATTACAGGGGAAGGTAACCCCAAGTTTGGGAACTGTAATATATGGTCTTTTGAGCTGTCCTGATTAACTCCTCCTAGGGACACGTGTTTTGCAAAATTCTGCCTTTCTCTTCATTGGCTTACCCTCACCACTGTGTATGTAGATAAACCTTTGTCTCATTTGCAAAAATAACGTAGGTACACAGAAGCTTAATTTTTTTCTCATAGTCTTTAATATGGTGCCTATGTGACTTGGATACTTGAACAAAATTCACCCACACTGGCAATCTGCTTATTTTTTCATATTACATTAAAAAAAAGGAATGCGCTTAGGGAAATGTGATCTGTTCCAGCATAATCTGTGCTTTTTCTTTTTTTAACATTAGGATGAGCGCAAAGTCAAGAATGTGGTTCACAGTTATTACTAATGCTCCTCCTAAGGAAACAAAACCCTGAAATGCCCACAAAGATAAAAATATCACACATAGTACACCACAGTTTTAATAACTTTAATAATAATTATCATTATTACTAGATGAGTATAAACAACTATTTCAAGTCATATTTAGCTGGGCTCCCTTACAGCCAAGATCTGACTAGACCTCCTCTCACTATTTACTGATGTATCAGGAAGAATACTTTATAGTTTACATAAGACTTGATTCCCTTTACCAAACGGGATTTCAGTCAGTCCAAACATAAGGAGACACAGGCAGACCTAACTGAAACTGAAGTCAGGTGTCTTTTAGATGAACACTTCTGCATAATTCTGCTAGCTGTGTTGTGTTTTGTTTTTGGTTTTTTTTAACTATATCCTTCTCTCAGGCCCTCTGTGATACGATTTTCCCATTCAGCCTCATGGGACAAATCCAGAGCAACCTGTAAGGCATTGGGAGCGGTACATGGGTAAAGATGTGCGTGTTTAAACAAGGACATCTAATGAAACCTCGTGCAACTTCAACCTCTTTCAAACTTGTCTGAAACTGGAAGGCTTTAATTCACCTCTGCATTTGATCACAATCCCTATTTCAAGAAGCCAAGCCTAAGAGACAGAGAATAGCCCCAGACAAACCATTTTCCAGCCAATTTTAAAAGGTAAGCTTTCAGAAAAGTAATCACAAGGTCTGCAAGGAAAAAGACATGTGCTACGGTGCCTGTAGCCACCTGGATGTATTCCCACCAGGATGCTGCAAGTGAAGGTCACTGCCCTTACCCGACACTTGCGACAGCAAAGCCCGTTGCTGCACTGGGAGCCTGCCGTCAGGGTGCAAGTATTGCAGCACTCTCCTCCTTCGCTGGCACACTCCTGAGGAACACACACACTTATAACAGAATACATGGGAAAAGCAGATGAGCCCCAAGCTCTCTTACTACTTCTCAGCTTAGCACGCTACCTGAACAGATTTTTAACCAGGCTTTTAAGCACCTGGGGGCAGAAAAAGGCGTGCATTGTGGTGCACGAAGTTGCTGTTTCCTATGCAATATAGGAAATAATTTTTCTGACTTCACAATGTCAATCATTTAATACTGACATTTTAACACTGACCAGAGTCATGTTCCCATCTAGGAAAACACTTTCTTTAACATCTTTTAAGGCCTAATTCTGCACAGGTAGCTATTACTGTTACTCTTCAGAATTTATGTGGTGATAAAATAAAAAAGCTGTCCCACATTGTGTTAAACACAATGGAAAAAGGTAAGAAACAACGAATCCTTTGCCGCAGGACCTTAACACTGCCTGTCTTCCTCCACTTAATGTTCACGGCAGTGATGCACAGCACCCACATTGTGTTAAATGTGATGGAAAAGGTAAGAAATGATGAATCTTTTGCCACAAGACCTTAACACTTTGTGCCTTTCTCCACTTTATGTTAATGGCGGTGATGGGCAGCACCATGTCATGGAGAATCTAGTTGCTAATTTAAAGTACTTAGTTGTTTAAATTAGCTCTAGTTGCTAATTTAAAGTACACTTACCGCTATCGTCCCACAGTCACACTCTTCTCCATCTTCCACAAAGCCATTGCCACATTCTGGAGGATCCAGAAGCTGCAGGGCAAGATCAGAAATCAAAGGGCATGTCTCTTCTAAGGGAATCATTGTCATATTTACTCTGTACAACATGGTTTTTAGCTAGCACTCCAAAGGCATTAACCAAAAAACAGTACCTACAACTCAGGGAGAAGCAGACTAGAAACAACACAAACAAACTGTGTAGAGAACTAACAACGCTGTGAACTGGTTCAGCAATATGGCCAAGCCACGTAGTGTCTTCGGTGCATGAGTGCCATTTTTACAGAAGATTCAGTCTGAGCAAAAGCCACAATCAAAAACAAAAGGTGTGACAATAAAAGAAAAAAAATATCATTCTCATTAAAGGGGTTGCAATTCCTGTTGTTCTAGAATTCAAGTGATGACAGCTGTGTCCCAGGTTGAAGCCTGAACTATAACTTCAGAAGAAATAGCCATAAGAAAATTATCCTTTGGGAGCACGTGGCTCAGAAATGCACGGAGAGGGGAGAAGCTGGGTTTCTTTGTCAGTTTTTGTTGTAGTCAGATGCTTTTTCCTTCCCTTTTTCTCTATCACAGTTGGAACTTTCAGCAGTTTTCCATAAGCATGTGTCACAGGCAGATGAGAAAGTATAGCTGGTGAGGCTTCCTCCCCTTCCCTTCAGCCTCCCCCTTAAACTGTTATTTAAAATGTCTAAATCTGTACATTTGTAGTCGTACTTTCCTTTCCCATGGGCAAGATTAATTTACCATTTTTTTGCACGGAACCCACACTATGCTCTCTTTTAATCGACATTTACACTCTGTTCTTTGCAGTTTCATTGTTCGCCATTTCCTAAAATTTCAAAAGGTAATGCTTCAAAAAGAAAATAAAATGGCTTTTTTCCTTTGGCCATAAGAAAACATAATAACTTTTATTACATAAATGAGAAGGCATATAAGTGCATCACAAAGACTAAAATTTTGCAGATTGTCCTGAGTTCTCCAATTAAACTAGGATCGTTCCAGAAACCAGTCTGCTTATGAGCCATCTGCGCAAGTACGTCACTTGTGGTGTAGAGTGCAATTTTCTCTGGCTGCTGCCTTTCTGTCAGTAGCCCACAGGATGGAGCATCACCCCACGTACTTCACTGTGCCACAAACCAGCCTGAAGCTAGTCGCACAGGCTGATGTGCTATCATTAGATCCCCCTATTGAAATGGAAATTTGACTGCAGCATGAAATGCATGTGTAGAATTTAACATTAAATGTAAGCAAGCAGTTATCTTTTAGAATTATTAAAGAGTTGCTAAAACTACTCATTTCCTACATATTTTTCCAGACATCTTAACTTTTTCAGTATCTCTAGGTGTGTGCTGCACAATACAGACAAGTAACAGAGGGCGTTGCCTTAAAACATTGGGCCAATTTGCTGCAGTACATAGGGACAGCTAAATATGAAATGGAAGGAAAAAAAACCATGAAAAGCAAACTGGATAACTTTTCCCCAAAAGTCATATAATTCATCCGTTCATTTGAAAAGAACACACGCTCAATCTGGTCCAGCAGTCATTGATGCAATTTTTGGGATCACAGCTGATCTTACAGTGGAGCACTGTTGAACACTGCACCTTGTCACATCAGTTTGCCTTTATATCATATTTTTCGAAAGCAAAAGTAAGTTTGTGTTTCAGCACCCTTGCTAAAAAACATGTCTTTGACAGCCTTGTGAATTAGACAGACATCCATTGACAATAACTTTAAACCAACCCAAACACCACCACATAAAAGAGTCTAAATCACCCTGGATTGTACATCCAACTTCACATTTCCACATGCCATTAGAAAAAATTGTAAATGCTTCCAATCTAAATTGAGATGAGAGTAATTGTTTTTTACCTAGTGACAGATGTGTAAATTAACATAATTGCTAAAACAAGCCTAAGTAAGACACATTACACTATGGAAACAATTCACTGAGGAAAGAAATAAAATCAGCAATATTTCTCTCCACTTTTAATGAGATGAGAAAAAGCAAACTCTAAAATGCAGGTGCATTTTAAAGAATGAGATATCTTACATCTTATTAATGAATTACAGTGCTTCCTCTCCACTTTTCATAATACATTCTTCCATGAAAAGGAGACTTTTGAGAGAGAAGCAGACTCAGCTTATCCAGATTTGATGTCTTCTCTTCCCCTCTCTAACATTTACTGAAATTCCGTGGTTGTCGGAACACGCATTTTTTTCTCAGCCGCTCCAGGAGGAATATGCATCACTCCAGCATTGACTTTCTCTTTTACATCTGTGGTCACCTCAGCTATCAAGTCTTTTTCCCACAATGGACTCTCTTTCTCCCTTAGCCTCTTTCCTTTGCTTGTTGAAAGACAGCCATTAAATAGAGGATAACATTAATTACAGTTAGAAAAGAGTCAAGATCATTATCCTGATTACTTTACGTTTTAACATGCTTCAGTACATGGACCAGGAATATACTGAAACCCTGCTGCAAATCCTCCATTGTAGAAGTGCCTGAATCTTGGCTGGAGTTTCTTTAGCCGTGTTTTGTATTTATCTCCCTTACATGTTAATCATTTCATATTCTTTGCATCTTTCACATGTTTAGCAGGCCAAAACTGAGACAAAATTGCGCAAAGAAAAGGCAAATATTATCTCAAGAAATATTCCCCACTTCTCCTGATTTCCAAGACTCATGCAGCAAGACCTCTGATTTCGTACTTTAGAGGGAAATTTGGAGGGGATGGGTCAGTCATTTAAGTGGGTCACAATGCTTTTGTAGCTCTCCCGCCCCCAAGTCTTTAGGGGGGTAACGCACCCTGCTAAATAGGGCGAGGTACAGTGGCACTGAGGACCAGGGTCCGGCAGGGGTCCACCAGCTTTCCCCGTCTGGGTGACTACCCAGCACAAAGCAGGGTTGTGCAGAGCCACATGTGCCGGCCTGGAAGGAGCTAATACAGGGCTAAGATGATCTGAGTACGTCTCCGAAGACACATTTCTCCCCCAGCACATGCGGTCCAGGGTATGACAGACACCATGTGGGCAGCTCCTGGGGAATGAGGAGTGTGACAGGTGCCCAGCAGACACAGGCTCTCCTAATGTCTGTCCCCTACTCCTCGGGGCTTTCTCTCTTGCTCTGCCTCTTCCAGCTTTAGAAAAACTAGTCACAGTTTTCAAATTCTGTTCTGAGAGCCACTGTAAAAACTTTGCCTTCGCCAAACAGGGGGGGATATCACAACCACTTGTAGCTGCTGCTGCCCGCAAAGCTCCTGGGCTGCACAGCGGTGCACCCTCTGCAGAGGCTCTAGGAGCTGTGTCCTCATCTTGGGACAGATGTGAAATAAAAGCAATCGTACTTCAGCTTCCAGATATTTGTACCAAAAGACATCAGCCAACGCAAACGAGAATTCAAGCTGTACAAAAGTTTACCAAGACACTTGAAACCTCAGCAAATAAATTCAGCAAAATATTGTATGTACAATAATCAGAACGAATCATGTGAGGGATGATTCTAGATCAAAGCCTGTGGGAATTCTGTTGGAGATTAAATCACTTATTAAAATTTTATTTAAATATAATTCCCAATCACTGTGAACTAAAATGAGCTACTTTCACTCATATGTCACTAGAGAGAACCAGAAATATCAAAATTACAGGTGGGTTTTTTTCCAGCATTATAATTTTCATTCTTCTTGGTTTCATCTAAATTAGAAATAGAATAGAAATAATACTTAACAATAAGGTAATGCTTACTTTGGTTGGTTTATTGAAAAGGCAGGCTCCACCTCCATTGTTTAAAAATTCATGATACTCTTCAATGTCACATTTGGAGAACTTGCTTGGAAGATAATATCTGCACAGAAAAAAGGTAGCAGCATTACTTTCTGTAGTGCTTTTTACACTGTATTTTCTTTTTTTCAAAACAGGAGAACTATAACATTATACTTTAGAAAAAGTACAAAAACACACTGTCCAAAATCATAGTGACGATCTGCTTGTAGCGCTATCTAATCTAGTAAATGAGACAGAACTTTCAATAATGACACAGCTCACATGGAAAGTGAGAGGTCTAAAACATTTCACTAAGTTATTTCATGCCCAATACCATAAATCTTATTACACAGCATGTAGTTTTCACAAACAGAGCCTGTTCCACTAACGGGCCTCATCTCAGAAATGCATTTATTTCTTCCTGTACATACAGCAGGAGACAAAGATTGCTCATAGTGCATTTCCCTCTCAGATGAAATTGCTCTCCTGGCCCACAGAATTTTTATACAAGAGAATTATGCCATTTTAAAACATCTTCCAACAAACATCAGCTAACATTTCAGCTTCCCTCTCTCGTGTCCTACTGAATAAATTTCTTTTGAGTACAGAGTGCCAACCTAAGGCACAGTGCTCCACCTAAAACCAATATGATGCAGAGGATCTTTGCATGGAACCTTTCCACAGGGAAAGAATTTTTCCCAAAGTAACTTAAGTGATCTTTATATTTAGGTCCTTAGTCATGAAAGTACTTTATGCTTCAAGCAGATTTTGCAGTCTCAAGGGCTTTCGTGTATCAGCTCATCACTGGCTAAAAAAATATTAGCTGAAGTGCTATACAAAAGAAACGTTTGCCGGGAATGATGGCTTGCCAACCTTAATTGGTCTTTTCCATCTCTAGTGTTTATTATTTAGGCCTAAAGACTACAGAGAATGTAGGATCCACCATCCTTCATCAATAAGCTATGCCAATACAAGTGGGTTTTTGTGTAGCTAATTATTTTAACGGTTTGTATTTCAGATAAAGAATTTAAAGACCATTAAATAAGGAATCACTTTTACAAGAATCAAAAATGCTTCTCAGATTGGCTTTTTAACATATAAAAAAATCAGAAAAAAACTACCTAGTATGTTTTTAGGTAGACAAGGTGAAAAAGGCACACAGTCACACTTCCAAAGAGCTTTCAGTGAAATATGCTTCTCTGTTCAAAATTGTTCTGACCACAAAGCTACTGTGAAAATTTGCAGGTCAGTTTGAAATTAATTTAAAAAGCACTGTCTATATCTAAAACTAGACTATAGTTTAAGTCATATACATGACAAAAGACAGGCTTGTGATATGAAGAATAAAGGTCTGAATACACACTTTAGAAAGCACCAAATTTCACCTACCAGCAAAAAATGTGCTGATTAACTAGTCTTTAGATAAAATCTCTCCAGTGACATTACATGTGGGTATAAGCATACTCAACCTCCAATGGGAACAGTTTTTCTAACACTATCAAACAAACCGGAGGATAAAAATGATAGATATAGATGAAAGATTCCAACAGAAACACTGAAAATGAGACATACTTAAGGAATTTGATAATAGCATTTCAAGAACTTTGAAATGCTATTGTTTCTTCCCACAACTCAAGAGCAAACTTGCAGGAGAAAAGCTAAGCATGCTTCTGCTTCTTTGCAATGACCTGGCGTGGCTGTTGAGCCCTGTGCTTTGTGAGTTTAACGAGCAGTCACCAAAATCCTCACAGATCCTCTCATTAACTCATTCTCACATTTCTTTTGAAAGTGTCTTTTTTACATGTGTTGTACAGGTAACACCTTACTTTCTGAAAAATGATTCACAGAAAACATTCTGCTGAACTACAAAAGGCAAACATTTTCACACCTTTCCTTTATGTCATTGTATGAAGGACGTGATTTCCTCTAGTGAAATGCCTTACCCTGTGTCTCCCATTATGCATCCAGACCATGTGTCCTCACACTTACACTCACCTGACAACAACAAGAAAAAAAATTACATCTTGAGTCTTGTGAGTCCAAAATAATACATTGCTTATCACAAAAACTACACTGTAGTCAATTCCATTTCATATTTAAATACAAGTTGAAAAGAATAATTTGCTGGTTTATTGCACACCTTAGTTTAAATGTATCAGTGAAGACTGACAAACTTTCTTTCAAAAACTATGCATGATTCTATGCAATCCTGAGCTTTGAAAATATGTCCTCCTCTTAAAGTGAAGTTAGGGGAAACTGCAGTGTCAGCCTCCGGCACTTGACAATCATGAGTCAGCTTTCCTGCCTTCTCCTGTGTCACAATATTTGATTCCCAAATTTTCTGACTAAAAAAATGAATCGTTTTAACCCTTCTTCTAATTTTTAGTTCTCTTCTACTACTATGCTAATGTGACTGGGGAAATCTTCACTTGAAAAAAAATAAAAACCCAAACAATAATTCACACAAAAATGCATGATTTGGCCTGTAAACACAAGCAGGATCTAGCAGCTTCTTGCTCCGCTCTCCCTCCTTTCCCTGCTTGACTCCCTTCCCCACGCAACTCCCCGTCAGGCAGAGGGCAGCCCTCCCTTCTGCCCTGCCAGGCTGCCTGGGACTGCTCTGCTCTGGTCTCAGCTCTCTGCATTCAGAACTGTGACTTATGTCTATTTCTGTACATGTGCTTCACACATATACTTTTATCTTGCTCTTTCTGCAATTTGCCTTGCTGTAATACATGAACATCAGCTTATTGCTTCTGTTTTAAAAGTACAAATAAAAAGGAAACGAGTCTCTGCCCAACTGTTGTATTCTCTTCTCTCGCCACCAAAACCCTGATCTGCCCCTCCGCTCAGCCATAAGAAAGGGAACCACCACTGTTACCATTCTCACTTTTACCTGCCCCTATATGAGGTTAATAATATGCAGCTGGAAAATAAAGACTGAACATGTTGGTAGCATAAAGCATCTGTCCTATGTTTCTGAATATTTTTCAAAATAAAATTACATAAACCACAAAACCCTTCACATGCAGATATATCTCTGCATTGTACAGTCTTTACAATGTCTGAAAACAAAATTCACCTAAACAGAGCTCTATTACTCAAAATAGTAACATATTTTTTTTAAATGTAAGCCACGTAAGTACGCATGATCCAATAACTAAGCACTCCAATCCATCATCTAAATCGTTTCAAAACTATATTATTATTTCAATCATGCATTGTTCTCCATGTGCTGGGACTTCGTATAACATGGAAGCAGGGAGGGTGAGGTGCTTGTCATGGGGCGTAGATCTGAATTAAGGCATTGCAGGTAAATATAGGTTACCAAGAAGTTGAACATCAAGGTTAGAGCAGATAAATGGTAGCAGTAGGGTGGCAAATACAGGAGATTTGGATAATCTAGAAGAGGAATTCAATCAAGGCAAACAGGGAAAAAGCTATGTCGTCAAAACCACCCTACGTAACAGGACTGACAGGACTGACGAGACTCCTCATCATCCCCAAGTCTAATAATGTGTGTTTCTACCTTTGCACCATAAGATGGCAGCCATTCAGTCTGTGGGTGTGACATCGATTTCCCTGAAATGCACGGAAGTGGCAGATACCTTTATGATTTATTTTTAATGAAATGGTGACACCAGTGCTGCCAGCAATTATGGACAGGGGGATATCACAGCATTTAAATAGAGGAAAATTAATGATATGTCAGTTTCTCCTCATGTTATTACAAAAAAAAAATCAAAATACTCCAACATTGTTAGAAACATGGGGGAAAATACACATCAGAGAGACACTGCTAAGATCCTCCACCTTTTAAGATTTTCTCTTGAGACAGAGTGAAAAGCAAACAACCTTACCACTTATAAGTTTTCTTCTGTCTGAGAAAATGCCAATGTTTTGAGCCAAAGTCTGTGCCAGGGTAACTGCCATTAAGTCTGGCTTTCCAAACTGAAAGAAACAAGCAAAATAGGAAGAGTAATTAGTGACATACAGGTATCTCAGACACAATTGATGCTTTTCTCATTTCAAGGCAAAATCAGATACCCAGTGTTAGAGTTCTTACTTCAGAGCAGCTAGATAATGGATAAGTGAGGAAAACTAAATGTTGGCTTATGGACAAGTTAAGTAAGAGAAAGTCAGTTTCTTTCTTGCCATTGTGGCTGCAAGTATGAATGATGGGATATTACAGAATCTGCTGAAAAGTGTATTTGAATCCATATCTGACTTTATTCACTCATCACTCTTCATTGAGACATTCCTTCTATAGAGTTGCACTAAAACTCTGCATCAGCAAAGAAGCAGCAAGATATTTCAAGGAACATGTCTGTGCTGATAAATTCTGTGCAGACAAATTCCACCACTTTTCACTCAGACCAGTATCCCCACCTACCTCGTTCACACCTCCGCCTTTAAGCAAGGAGCAGATTCCACCAGTGTGGGCTACACCACTCCGACTGCTCTGAAATCGACTCCCCCTTTGAGAAAAAGGAAAAGAAAAGAAAGTTTACCCTGCTCAGCCGTGAGTTTTGCACCTATCTATCCCAGTATTTACCCTTCTGATTTCCAAAGGAGAAACTGGCATTTGCGGGTTGCCACCACTACGCTGCAAACAGTTCAAAGAAAAAAAAAAAAAGGGAAAAACAGATAACCACTCACAAACCTCACATGACATATTATCTCCAGAAAAGTTATATCATCTTCCCTCCTCCTTCTGAGACTATCTAATTTAAGAAAGCATAAGGGGACTATTTTGCCAAACCACCTGAATCTTACCAGCCTTTTGCTCATTGACATACTCATGCAGCAAGTGACTTCCACTGGCATGTGCTACAGACCAGGAGAGGCCACCACATTGCCAATGCATGGGGGACAAGCAAAAAGATGTGTCTAGTTGGACAATGCTGACGTGGCAAAACTCTAAGACAGATGCATCAGCATCTCGCTGATGCAGAGGTAGGTGAAAACTCCCTGGAACCGCAGCCCTTCCTATCCAGGGGAGAGCTGCGCTGTGAACCTAAATCTAATCATCTCTTTGGTGCTGACCACGTCAGCATGAATGACTGCCAGTTACCCAAGACAAAATATACTCTGCGCCACTTCAGAGTACTGATCCATCCAAGCTGCAGCAAATTGTTTTTTTCAAAGGAAAACAGAAAGACATCAAGAAACAATACAATGTTCTAACTGTGCTGAAGGTGTAAGTTCATTTGTAACCAGTGTACCATCACACCAGCCAACCTCACCTCCCATCTTAGCTGTGTCTCACTCACAGACACAATTTTAGAAACTGGTATTTCTCAACAGTCTACGAATACAATACCTCAAACATCAGCGGTGGTATTACGGACAGCACTGGAATTAGCATTACAGGGGTATCCAGATCCCAGTCAGAGGGCACATAGGGCCCTCTTTGCCCTAGCCAATCCACAAACATTCAAAAGAACAAGACTTCCCCCAAAGACCTTACAATATCACCAGAGAAGATATACAAAGGATGTGAGAAAACCTGATTCCCATTTAACAGACGAAGGACTGAGATGCAGAAAAACTAAAACCTGCAAGCACAACTTGCAGATCTTACTTGCTCTCTTCATGGCATAAGTCAATGAGAGTAATTAAGTACCTGCAAAAATTGTGAGAAGCTGGACGCTGGTGTTGGGTATCCTGGCACCCTACCGCAGTCATATGAAAGTGAGGTATTTGGGTTAAGTTTATTCATATAGGCTCCTACAACAGTCAGCAGAGAAGTATAAGGACTCCAACAGAGCAATTCATCTGGTCTGTCTTGTGTGGATCAAAAATGTCAACCATGAACCTCTCCTCTATTTTTGTAGATGTATTTTGTTATTTCAATCTTATTTCCAAAACAATTAAGAGATGCAGAGAAAATAACATTCCTCCCAGCTTATTCTTCTTATAGCACATGTCTCTCTGGAGAACAAACTCTTTTGAGGATATGAAACACTTCAGTAATCCTGCAGCATGCAGGTCATTCAACAAAGTAAATCAAGCCATAGTGCTTTTTAAGCAGGGAACCTGCTTTTAAATAATACAACAGGGCTGTCCATGCTCTACTGCCAAAGCAGCCAACCTCCAAGGTGGAACCATGCATCACCTTCCAGGCAGCTGTGCTTGCAGAGTAGGTAATTGCACAGAATAACCAAGGATTACAGCGCATGCAGCTCAGCCTTAGTATGTTAAAACTAAAATGAGAGTCAAACCTCTAGCTGCACTGGCAGGCAGTTTGTGCATTAACTTTTTCCCACCTCCCCATCAGAAGCATTATTTTCTGAATTACTGTGGATTACACACACAACAGAAAGGAGATGCATCAGCCACTTGTGACAAGCAACCCCCAAGGAAAGAATAAAACCCAGTAATAAAATATCACACGAGGTTACGTACGAAAAAAGGTGAACTGCGTCACTTTTCTCTCTGATAAAATCCCTCCTATATTTCATAAACTCACGTAGGGTCACCAAGGGGTTTTCAGATATGGTGAACTTGTTATCAGTAGCCCAGGTTTCCATGGCAACCAATACTATCCTGGTGTTAAGTTGTTCTTTATATATCTAGTACATTAACAGAACGAACAAATATATTATGTCAAATAGAATAAAGGTGAGTTTTACCCCTTTTTTGTAATAGTTTGCATTTTTACATAACTAAATGTTTAGCTTGTTATAGCACACTTCGGGTTCTCCAGGTGATTTTATCTTCCTTAAAACCAACAAACAAACAAAACAAAAAAAAGTAAAATCTCAATTTTAGGCCTAATTGTTCAATCAGCTCTCTCAGCCTGCAAAAAGATCCCTTGCAGGTCCTACACAGGCAGAGGTGCACAGAAGAGAAATGGGATTTTTGAAAAATTACTACAGAACCATTCTAAATAGTTCAAGGATTTGGAATTCATGGGTCTTTTATAATGTCCAGCTCACCCCAGTGACACACAAGAGCTCTTATACCAAATACTCATCTATAAAACCAGTTTTCACAGCGATACACCTCTGTGGGAATATTTAACCTCATGATGGATGAATCATGAAAAAAGGGCCATCCTTTCAATGCTGGGGGTTAATACTCCACACCAAATACCTTCAAGAGTGGGAACCACATTTTTCTTTTTCTAGGAATACTTTTCTGGGGTGAGGTGCAAGAACCAGCAGCTCATCCAATTTAGTGCCACAAATACAATCCACATAACCCACTTGTATGTCCCTATTCTAACTCATTTACTCAAACGAGCTTTTTCTGGAGAAATTTTAGTGCACTCTGATTTCAGATTGGTTTTTGGGTTTCCGGCTGTCAACATAGAGATCCTGTGTTAAAAACTGGCATACCTAAGGTGCTCTTTAAAATTCAGGCTCAAGGGATTGATCCAGCAGAATACTTAAATGTTTGAAGCCACAAAATATCTCTAATGCTTTATGTTAAACAAAGGCTTTATAGGTGGCTGACAGTGGTTCTAGATGAAAATTTGTGATCCTCATATATGTTATTATTAGGTATACCATGAACTGACAACTCCTGCATCTATCGGTACGAGAATCATATGACTCATATCACACGTAAAAGGACATTTAGTTGAGTGATACTTACTAAATCTGCCATGTTCACAACTGATTTAGCATAGCTGTTTGTATGGCCGACTGACAAGCGGTGTTTTTTACACTGCAAAACAAACACAGAGAAGTTACATATACAGACTTCAGAAAAATAAGCTCCATTTCCAAAAAGGTACAAAGTAAAAAGCAAGTACATCAACAGTAAAATCCCTGTGCGAAGTTTGGTCTCCCGTGCTGAATGTAATGCTAATAAGCAATAGTAGAAAATTGCTCAGAAATGCACATTACTGATATACTCTACAATAGCTGTTGCATTAATTCCTGTTTGGAAAGTACTCTAAGATCTTTACTAAAAAATGCTATAGGAACAGGAACATATTGTTACTCTCTCCGTTATCTTTGCTATCAGATATTTTGAAGTTAATTCCAAATGCCAACACAGAAATTGCCAACACAGAAATTACCAACACTATTTCCACAGTCGAGACATCTTTAGAGATATTACCCCACGAGTGCCTGCATCTGTGTTTTAATCTATCGATCAGACTTCCTTGGGGTTTTTTTCAGTTCTCTCTCTTAAGCTGTCTTCTGGATTTCTTGATGTACAATTTTACATTCCATAATGCCACAGTAACTGGTTCAAATCACTTAAGCGATCAGACTGCAATGGCACCTTTACTGACATCTATAATACAGAGCTATAAAGATGACACTGAAGATAGCTGTCCAGGTACTCTTAACTGCAGAAAAAAACACAAATGAGCACCATGGGATGAAAGTCACAATTATCTTAGAAGAATTCAGGACAAAAGGACCAAGATTTTCAGAAATGTTTGAACATCTCATGCCCCATGACACTTGATTTTGGAGTGAAAGTTGCCCATATTTTCTGGAAGTTAGGATCTTTTAGTGGGCAAGAAGAG